TATATAGAACGTCTTTAATTGTGTAGTTGTAGTTTGTGTTTTCATCATTAATTGAGAGACTTAAAGAAACATCTAATCAAAAGACTTTCAAGCTAACACAACTCAGCCAATATGAATGAACTAAACTAACACAAAATCAGCCATCAATGACCTAAAACTAACACAAATCAGACAACCATGAATGACCTAAACTAACACAACTTCGCATTCAAGGCTATACAACTAACACAAAACAGGCGTAACAATAACCATTCAAGGCTCTACAACTAACACAAAACAAGCTTCAATGCTACAATTTCAGATTAAACATACTTCTCATAGATGTAAACATATACGCAAATATATATACCATAAAGCTTAAAGCTAACAAATATACAAGAAAAGTAAATTAAATAATGCTTTGCATACCTTTTATGAATGAATTTTGGACGATCTTCCTCAAGTTCAAAGAAGGATTGTACGATATCTCATATCCTGGAAAACCAAATTGCACAAATTAAAGACCATTTATATCTATGATGCATCTAAATCTATGATGCATCTAAACACCAAATCCCAAAAGAATCAATTTAACCAACCAAGTTGAGCTAAAATGAAATGATATGCTCTCTACTATAGTCCTTAGTCACTAACCAACCAAGCTACGAAACTTGAATAACCTATTGATTCAATTTGAGTTTCTCACATCTTCATTCTTTTGTTTCTGCTTATATTTGTCATATTTCTCTATCCAGTATACATTACATCATATCAAAATTCAAAGCACATGCTTTTTTCGTATAGACTAATCTCTAATCTTTTAGTTGTATATGCTTTGTTATATCTAATTCAACTAATGAAAGAAGAGTCAAAGTAATACACTAAACCAAACAACAACATCTAAATCTACCAACATTCCATAGATGTATCTCCATCAATAAAAGATAAGATGCAGCACCAACTGATCTTCTGTGCTTTCCATCCATCACTCTACAAACACCAAATGCAAAAAATCAGTCACCAATGTTTGAAAGTTATATGTTTCATAACGAAAACGAATTTTCATTTTTTACAAATGAAAATTTTCACAAACCTTAAGCGAGATTGGATCAAAAAGATTCTGAATCAATACAACCCCAAATCCCAAAACAAACGAGCTTACAAAGAAGAACAAAACTCAGAACCCAAACCTCCAAATTAATCGGAATCGATTCCAACCCATAACCCTAAAGAACAGAGAGTAAGAAGACGAAGACAATCCAGAACCCAACCCCAAAAGAATCAATTTAACCAAGAGAACCCACAACCAAAAACCCTAAAAAAAATCACAATCGATTCAACCAAAAACCCAAAATAATCAACAGTTTTTGTTGTCAAGCCTCAGAGAGATCTATCTCTCAAAACCCCTAAACCTAGAAACATAAAAACCCTTTTCGATCAGAGAAGATCGGACCCGAATAGAGATTACTCTCTTTCTCATCGGCGAAATCGCCATCTCTATCAGAGAGAGTGATGAGCGAGGAGTGAGAAACGCGGTTTTATTTGATCAAAACTTTTTGGGTTATCCGTATTTTTTTTTCCCCTTAACCAATCACAGATCGACACACTAGAGAGTCTTAAAAATTCTTAAATGTCTGTATTAAGAACCGGTTATTGAGTTATTAACACAAATTCTGTCTTTTTAATTTTTTTTTAAAAAAAATTTTAGAACCCCATAATTTTTTGTTAAATCTGTCCGATGGAGATGGTCTAAGAAAGATGAAAAAAACAGATAATTATTAAACTATGAATATGTAAACAACAAAGCATTTTAGAAATTTTTTTTAGTAATATATGAACTTTAAAGAAAATTTA